AAAAAAAAAAAAAAAAAAAAAAAAAAAAAAAGAACAAAGGAGCGTTTTTTCAACTCGGAAAATTTAATAGCCTAATTTGTGTATCAAAACACTAGAGCTTTATGTGCGATTTTCTTTAATAAAAACAATTTTGCAACCAAAGACTAGCTTTTTTTAGCACCGACGGACCAAATTTCGAATGGAAAAGGCTTTGTGTTGAAAGAATGGACAACTCCGGCACCAGAAGAGAAACCTGAAACTTATGATTATCACAATCGAACGCCATCACCTCTTAAGAAATACAAATTCACCCAGAAACTGAGGCAGCGTCCAAGACTTCGAATTCGCCGGCCTGGTTGATATTAAATTCTTATTTTCCTGAATACAGTTTCAGCAAAATACAAAATTGCTCTTTAGAATAAACAACGGACTCAATAAGCCTTTTTTAAGAAGCTTGAAAACACTTTTATAGAGCTTCTTCAATCGTAAACAATTGAGTTTTTTGTCGCTTTTTTTGTCCACCTATCGCTAACATTTTTTAAGTACAATATTAAAGCACGAAAAAGCATTGTTATTTGGTTGCTTTAATTCGGTATTAACAAAGTAGCGTTGAAAACTGCAGTCAAATCTTGCAAGCTTCTTTATTATTATTATTATTTTTTTTTTTTGCTTAAACGCGTATTTTCGTTTCTTTCAATTAGCACTTCTTTAAACTACCAGATATATCTCCTACAAATTTTCATACAAAGTTTTGCTAGTTGCTGAGCTTTGCTTAAATCCTGACATCGCTCTACCACTGTGAAAATGGAAAGCTAGTAAACAATAACTTTAATCGTACGGAATTTGAAGTTTTTAACGTCAGTCTGAACTGAGTAGCTGACATATAAATTTGTTATATTTTCGTCTCCATAACTGCATTGTCAGTTATATTATCTTCTAGTTGAAGTCTAGTTTTTTTTAACAGGTGAGGTACAGCGTGGGGAACATACTTCTTCAGTAAATCAAGCGCTGTCGCTTCCTCAGCTAGCACCTTTCTTGCCACCAGAAGGTCCAGAAAAGCCTCAGCGTGAAGTATATCCTCGTAGAAAGATGGAAACAGGTTTTTAAGCCTTAATTATTTCTTAAAACTGCTTACTCATTTTATAATGATGGCCGGATTTTCAAAAAAAACAGGTTTTCAGAACTCAGTAGCGAAAAACAGTACAACGGATCACCATTCGGAAAAAGCGGTTTTGGAGGTGGCAGCGGTTTATTCGGTGGAGACAGTGCTCCTCCTCCAGAAGTAGATTTCAGCTCTGGAGGTTTTGGAATTGCCGGGGCAGAACAGTCAAGAAGAAGCTTCGTTCCAGAGCAAGTTACGCCTAGAATAGTAAAGTTCGTCGTTGTTTTATGATTTAAACGTATTTGTGGCAAGTGCAGCAACTGAATTTTAAATTAAATTTCAAAACTGCAACTTTTAGTTTGGATTTTATTACAGCCACCAGTTTCAGCAGTAAGCTCTTAGATTAGCTTGGATATTTTTCTAAAAAAATTTGAGAGAAAAAAGCTGAAAATACCAAAAAATATTGCTTTCATGCTTCTTTAGTTCAAAAACACCTGTAGACGAACCGGAACGGAAAACTGAAGAGGTTAAACCACCACCGCCAAAACCAACAGAACCGCCACCTGAGAAGTTTGTCATCCCGCAAAACTCTGGTCTACGTCCTGTTGCTCCCCCTCCAGAATTTCAAGGTGGTTTCGGCAACAGTAACTCTGCTCCACCATTTGAATCAGGACCGGGTTTCGGAGGCGGAAGCGGAGGAGGGTTTGGAGGAGGCAGCGGAGGAGGATTTGGAGGAGGCAGTGGATTTGGTGGGAGTGGCGGAATAGGCAACGGACCTCCTGAGCCAGCAAATAATAAGAACGGTACGTTGCCTCCCTTACGGAAATCGCAAAAATCTATTACTAATCTATTACTATATCCTTTTTTTTTTTT